TGCAAAGCATCTTGTGTACGTGTGGCTGCTTGTCAGGGCGCGCATTGCTGTGCGTAGCTATGCGTTGCTGGCTCTATGTGGGGGGAGCCGCTCCCCAGGAATGCACGTGGGACTGCAAGAGAGGGGTGTGAGCGGTTACTCCCGGCAGTTCTTGGGGACCAGTGTCTGCGGGGTGTCTTGGCACAGCGCATCCATTTCATCAGCAGGTAGCCGTACGTGTGTGTGTTGTATATGGCTGCGGGCGTGACGGTGTCTGCGCAAAAACAGGAGCGTGTGGACTTACGAGTGTGCAGAGGAGAGCAGCGGTGTGTGCACTGTGGGGAGGTGAGTGAAGCCGTTGTGTGAAGCTGACAGCATTCCCATCGGCCACAGGACAGAAACGTGCAGGTGACTGCCGGGAGCGCTCTGATATTCAGTCTCTGGCAATGTGCAGCATTCCTGTACCACAGAGTTTAGGTTTTGGCATTAGCCTCTCCCCATCTCATGCTTTCCAAATGAAATGCCAAATTGTGTGCTTTGTCTGCTGCTTTCTCCTCTGCCTTGGCTTTCCTACAGGTCCACTGCTGTTTGTGCCCAGGGGCTGGTGTCAATCCTGTCCTTTGCTGTGGCTTAGATTTGTCTTTTTTCTGTTCTGTTTTTTTCTTTTTAAAGAATTGTTTTAAAGAACATCTTCCAGTTTGTCTCATGTACCAGAGCTCCAAAACATACTATCACAAGTAGGAATGCAAAAGTGATGCTAGAATAAAGAAAACCTGACAAGTGGGTGCATGGCAGTGATTCATCAAATGTGATAGCTCTGAGTAAGTAAGGAAGTATCTTTGGCTGTTTCTTACTAGCACTTGGTTCTACTCTGATCACCCTGAAATTTACAGTTTTATTAGGAAGGTAAAATTGTAACATTGAACTGAGGCTAAACCAGAACGTTTCCCTGCACCACATCCACCAAGTATAACCGAATGGAGCATCCCAAAGTTAGTGAGCATCGAAGCTTGGGGATTGCAAATCGTCTTAGCTCAACCGCTCTGGCCTCACAACACGTGGTTGGTTACAGGACTGTTCCTCATCTCCTTTACAAATGCTGCATAATAGTTGAAAATTGTGCATGCCAGCTCTGTTTTCTGCCTGTGCAATAGGGATTTGCTGCTCAGCCTTTGCAGGATGCGAGCCAGCCCCAATGGTTGTTTGTCTGTGTGAGTCTGCTGAGGTTTCTGACTCCCTGTGGGCAGCGAGTGCAGCGGGGCTGGGGCTCTGGTGGGGAGGCAGGAGAGACTGGCCGGGCTCCGCAACAGGGCACCACATCAGGCATCCAGGAAGTCTGGGTCTGGGGGAGGCTGCAGATGTGCAGCAGGGGTGAGCAGAGGGTTTGGGAGTGTTCCTGCCTATGTATTTTTAGGAGCTGGTGCTTGTTTCCTGGAGACTGTCTCTGTGGTGTAAAAAGCTGAAGCTTGCTTCATTTAGTTTAGTTCTTCAGTCATTAAGAATTGTTTCAGTAGTCGTGATTAAAGTTCTAGGCTCTCCCAAGGGTATACAATATTTATGTAAAACTGAGCCACTAAGATTCATATAGCTTCAGTGTATCACAGTTGAAGTTTTTAGGCCAATTGCATATCTCTCACTTTTTTTAAGTAACTAGCAAAAAAAACCCCACCACAGACCTATGTGAAAATGCAGACCTCAAAGCTCTCCAAAGCTTTCATAGAATCATAGAATAAACTATTCTTGGGTTGGAAGGGACCTTTAAAGGTCATCTAGTCCAACCCCCCTGCAATGGGCAGGGACACTTTTTCCATGCAAAAGGAAAAGTGGGGGATATATTTTTCATGCAGTGCTTCTGATGATGTTGTATTCTAACTTTCTGTTGTGCTTAGAACCCTGAGTTGCACCTGACAGGCCCTGCTTTGAAAAGCCCCAGTGCAGGGGCTGAACTTACTCCTTCTGGGGTAAGGGTTTATAAATGGGGTATGCGTTAAAAACATGTTGCCACCATTTTAAGCGTGAAGCAACATGCTACGAGGCTTTTGGTGCTCTGCAAAGTGAGAACAGCCCTTCTGCTTTTCCTGAGGCCACGCAAACGCTTCCATTGGGCCAGTCCCGGCTGCGAGGAGGAACACGCAGATAGATTTGAATTGTGCATTTGGATAAACAAGTCTGCAGGTCTGAATGGGAACTTGTTCAAACCTTTCTTCAAGGAAGCAGCTGGGACACCAAGCGCCGAACTCTCTGTTCCTGTAGCATTAGCAGTAGATGTGCCAGGCTTGTCTGGGGTCCCTAGAGCTAGTCTGATTTATAGCGGATGAGTATTACGTCCAAACACTTCGAATTATGTAAACAGATAGCTGTAAGACAGTGTTTTGAGGCTCTAGCTTTGCCCTGGGAAGGGCTTTTAGGCACAGAAGTCAGTAACAGTGTTCCAGTGTTAGCAAGACACAGCTGTGTGCTCACATGTTTTTATACCCTTTGCTTGGGTTTTCTGCAGTTCAGTATTAACAGTAACAAAATGGTGGCATAAAATGTTTTGCATTTTGTTGTACTTGTTTAGAGCTGGTACTGATCTGGGATTACCTCTTAGGACAGGTGCTGTGATAAACAGATGGGTCAGCCAGGGCCACCTGGGTGTGCTTTCAGTCCCCACCACCAAATTTGGGTGCTGGGCAGATGAAATTCATGCTCTGTTGCAGGGAAGAGGCTCTGCTACACCTGTGACATGCAAAGTACATCTGGTAGGGCATGTTTGAGAAAGAGCAGGACATCACTGCAGTGCTCTGATGCTGCCTCTCCCTGGGACAGCATTTACAGGGAGGAAAGGCAGTTGTGTAAAGTTAAAAAGAAAAAAAAAAAGGTAATAAAAAAGCAGGTGAAAGGATGTGTTCAAACAGTAGGGAAGGTCTGAAGTTTACAGAAAAAGCTTCAGGTGACATCGGCAAAAGAATTAGAACTCTTTTTATTATTAAATAATTAACTACACTAATTCAAAACTCTCCCAGCAGCTTGAGTTGGTGTTCCTGAACAGGAATGGGGGGCAGGCCCCCCCATGACAGCATTTCTCCCCTGATTAGCAGAGATTTCATCTGAAGAATAAACACTTAGTCTGCAGCAGCTGAAAGATCAGGACTAAGAGAAAAGTATCTGAGGAGGAGCTGGGAAAGGAGTTGGTAGATGCTCAGTCTGGTGGCGGGAGCTGGAAAACTCACTCGACTGTCTTGCCTTAAGGTCTGACCTTCATGGCATGTTCAACTCCTGCTCCTTGAAAACCAGGCTCTCTGGGAGTCTCCGAGGCTGGATGGCTCAGAAGGAGGAAGCCCCAACGGGCAAGCTGCATACCCACAGCGCATCTGACATGCTGCCGCGAGCTTACGGCCACTTACTGGTGAAGCTCTCCAGGCTGGGCATGGTCAAATGGCGTGCCAATGGGTGACAGCCAGAGCTGTGGAAGAGCAAAGTCTCTCCTAGTGGGTGCCGAAATGAGGCAAGACAAGGAAGGAACAGTGCTTGGTGGCTACATCAACTGTTCTGAAGTCTCGGGTAGGAAAGCCTTCATATGCAGAACCAGTTTGCAGCTTGGCATTTGGGCTTTGCTCCCTTCAGTGTCCCTTCGTGGGTAAGGGCCTCTCCGCTCTGCTTCCAGGCTGGCAGGACTGAGCCACAAGCATCCCCTCCTCCCCACAGTGCCAGTCCTGTGTGGATTTCCTGCTGCAGAGCCGGACGGCCTCTTCCACAGCTCCCTGCCATGATCTCTTTCTCTGCCCATGCTGGGCATGACAATGTCTCCTTTTCAAGGTGAACATCGCCCTCCAGCAGCAGGGAGCTGGCTGTCCTATTTGTCTTTTGCATCCAGCTAAAAATAGAAAGACCACACAGTGTTTGCTAGGGTGTCTCAAGCCTGCCAGCCCTGTTAGCTCAGCCAGCAATGCTTCCTGGCACCAAAATCCCAGAGTGAGGAGGAGTTTGTTTTTCATGCTTTACCACATTTACATCAGCATTATCCATCAATGATTGAGAGCAGCACAAGCGTTAAACTAAGGGCTGGCTGATCTCATACAAATGCAAAAAGGCTTGCAGTGAAAAAACAAAAACCTGACCAAAACACTAATAATTCATATTCATTCCTACCCCATAATGTGATGAAAGGAAAAACAACCTGGATGTTAAAATTGGAATCCTGAAGCCAGATTTTCTCTTGGGTCAAAGAAGTCATGTATGGGCAGTATATCTGTTAAAAATACAACTGGCTTCTTACTACATGGAGTTGGCAGAGCCCTACTACAGACAATGGAGCTGTGCCCATGTACACAAGTGGAAGAGTTGGCCCAGCCCACAAGTTACAACTTCTGCTTAAATAGAAAGTTTAAAAAGTGTTTGATGCCAAATGTGGAAAAATCTTCCCAGCAGGTCTAAAGTAATGTAGTAATTAACATTAGCACTAAACTCAAATTAATTAAGAACTTGCTCTCCTACAATTTTTCACTTTGGAAGATCTCAGAAGATTACACATGTAAGAAGAATGGCACAGGGAAATAAATGATCAACAGGGGAGAAAGTCAAGTCTTTAGTTAATAATTCAGTGCTGTCAGGTGGAGCAAGTACCCTCACCCCTGCCTCCTGCTTGCTGTTGGTCGCATGGCTGGCCCCTGCAGTATCTTCTTTGCTCTCGGAGTGCAATTAGAGACTCCTTTTTGTTACTACTATTACTTATTTCTCACAATGACCAAAAAAACCCACTAGAAATGAAGCAATTAAGTGAATGTA